TATTCTACCAACTTTTCCAAAATGACTCCAATAGTCTTTGATCGTTTCCCTAAGTTGTTTTTCTGGCATTAGTGGGACGTTTGCCAGGCGGATGTATACCTGTTGGGGGGACCATTTTCTGGGGGGGAGAGGGCATATAAACTGACCTTTCGATACTTCGAATGTTTTTGTCAGATGCTCATTCCTTTGTTCCACTGTGGCAAAGGCAAGTTCTAGCCATTGGGCATTGTCTCTCATAGAATATCCGACAGGGTTGATATCGCATATAGCCTCCCAGATTTCTGCTTGTGTGGCTTCGATGGTGGAGAGGTCCCAGAAGGCCACATTGGTCATGTCTGTGTTTGGGACTGGTCGTTTGGCTTTTATGTCTGGAGAGATAGCACATCTTCGTTCACTTAGGTAGGAAGAGGATACTATCTGAGCAGACTTGGTTCTCTGTGCCAGAACTTTTGCATATGATGGAGCATCCTTACCCAGGAAGGCATTGAGAGTGGCCTCCCTGACCAGCTCTTTCTGGGGGTTTGGTTCTACCTCATCCATTTTTGCTGTGTCTACTCTGTTGGGGGCATGGATTGAGTCTTCGAGTTTCTTTTCAGCCAGATCATAATCCATTGGGTCTTCGACTATGTCCATTTTAGGGGGGTTGCGAATCATTTGCAGTTGTTCATTATCTGCGATCTCACCTTTTCTTCTCAGTTCCCTAAAGGTACGTGTTGCAGGGATGACTGTGTTTCCTCTCTTTAGGTCCCACTTAGTAATGCTATCGTTTCCTGCAAAAAATTTGAGCAGGTAGATTGGGGCCCAGTCCAGCGATACTGCAAAGGGTTCACCATTTATGATGAGTCTGAGTGCATTAGCATTAGTGGGTTTCTTTGGGAATGCAATAGGGTGGTTAATTGTTGGAATGATTGCATTTGCAAATCTGTTTGGGATATCCTCTTCGCTTGAGCTGTTCACATTCATTGCTTCCAAGTTGCTGGGTTTTTTGTTTGTCCTTGCCTTTTTTGGTGTTGGACCCTTTTCTGTGGTGCCTTTAGGTGTTGCCATTCCCTTTTTGGGTTGTGCGATTTTGTTGATCCTTTTTTCAGGTATCTCGCTGTCCCCAACATTTCTTTTGGTTACACCAACATTTTGAGCGGGGGTTTTTGACATTGGTTTTGAAGCAGGCAGCGAAGGGAAGTCTACATCGCTGTTAAAGTTAAAGGTAACTGTTTGCTTTTGACTTGGATCAGAGGCTCTTCTGATTTTGCTTTGCTTCTGTCCCTTAGTTTGACCAAAGGGTTTGTTTTGGGTGACTTTACTGACAATGTTTTTAACCTGGTCATTGTCATCGTTGTCGCTGATGCTTATCGAGGACATTGAATATGCTGATAGGTTTTCAGCATTTACCAGTTGAAGGCTTGTGGTCTTGTTACCCTCAATGCTGTCAGTTGCATGCTCTACACATACTCTAGCTTTTGTCAGGCCATGTCTGTTTTCGACTTCAGCTTCATAATTTGCAACATTGGTACAGTCTTGAACTTCACAAGTGCTGACCGGGGAGGAAGCTAGAGATGCATTAGGTTGGCTAGGGTTGGAGGAAGCTGAATTTCCTTTCTTTTTAAGTAGAGCTTGAAGTTCGGGTGAGCTCATGGGGGAGACTCTTACTGCAATTGCAGGTTGCTCAGTGGGAGTCTGTTGTAGGGTTTTAGCTGCTGAAGCTGTTGGCCTGTTTGGGAGTGATTCTTCCTCATCAGATACCACTTCCTCTATTCTATTGAGAATTTTCATTCCTCGGAAGGTCTTGACTTGTTTATTAGAGTGGAGGGCACATGCGCGGTAAGGGGTGCCTTCTTCTGGTTCAATGCCATCTATGAAGTCCTCTTCATCTCTTATAAAGACAGAGCAGACGGCAGCATGGGTACAGTTAGGGGCTTCACATAGCTTGCTCACCTTTTCAGCTTTCCCAAGGGGCTTTGAGAACACTGTGCTATCTTCGAGGGAGCTCTTCTCCTCCACTCGAATATCCTCTTTCAGCATGGTCATGCTGCTGAGGGGCTTCTTTCTTCGTTTCCCTTTAGTCATAATGACTGCAGGGAGCTGGGCTGTATGAACTTTGTAATTTATAGTGTTTAGAATGTGTTATAGGGAAGTTTAGTATAAGCAATTGTTATTTCTTTTCTTCAGCGGCGGATTTGCAAAAATGCAGTGAAGAGAGAAAAGATAGATCCTGAAGAGGTTTTGAGGGTCTTTATTTAGGCACACATGGGGTGACCCCTAATTTTCTGTGCTTCTACTACCTAAAAAGACTA